CCACAAACAATATTGACAGATTCATGTGAGTCAAGGTAAAAAATAAGAACACAAAACAATGAATTTAAAACAAATAACAATTTTTTTTTTACAGCAAGTTTCACCCTGTACAAGGCCTGGGGGCCACTCAAGGTAGAGGGTTATGTTAAGAAGCAATTTGTGTGGATAGGAGGGGAAAATAACAGTTAACCTTAGCCTTGAACAAGTTAAGATTGTAGTGAGTTTTGGGAGTTGAGAGATGTTAGATTGTGGAGAATAATTTGTCACCCACAAAGACTCGGAGATGTTTTGGAACTTTATCAACTTTAAAAACATTTTTCTATGATTACCAAAGGTAACTTTGAAGTGGGGTCTAAGAGAAATAAAAATATACATGATAAGTTAAAATTCTAGTAGTATTATCCATATTCTAAAAATAAACAAAATATGGTTTCAGTTTACATCTTAAAGCACTCCTCAGGTACAACAGATTTTGTTTGTTCAAGGAGGCGAGTTTGAACAAACCTAGCAATATGAAATGAAACCTTAGACTATTTCACCATCAGCACATTACTAAAACAAAAAGCAATTTGTTAGCTAAGTTCAACCTTCATGCCTGTAATAAAATGGGGTGTGTCAAAAGGACAGTTTTTACCTTGACACCACTATTATTTTGTAATATTTTCAGTCTCTTGTTCAGTTTATTGTTTTAAAAAGTGATGATTAGAATTTAGATAAAACCCAAACACATGAAAGTCAATTTAAAAATTTAAAAAAAATTATCTTTTTCAAAAACTGTAGGAGGCTAGGGTATGATATAATTGCTGAAATTTTAGGCCTTGAATTTCTATTCAGTTATGTGCCATACGTGATACACGCTTAGGTGATCATGCATCTTTTGATACATGACTGACGAGGCAGATTTTTTCTCACAGTAGGTTGCCATTTCGTTTTGTGGATTTTTCCAGACATATATTTTCTTCTCAAATTATTTTATATCTCAATTTTTGATTTAATTTTCCAATTTTCTTTTATAATTGTGATTTTGGATTCCTCACAGTGGAGCAATGGATAGCAGCTCAGATTGAGGAATTGGAGAGCCAAGTTCAAATTCCAGTTGAATCCATTAGATTCACTTATGTGCTAATATCCATGGGAAAGGTATGAATCCTCTTCTTCTCAACTCCCCCCCCCCAGTTATGGGTAAATTGCAGGACAGACCAGGTTCTATAGTCTTGGATGGCAACTGGTCTACCACAAAAAGAGGTCAGTGTCTTTTTTACAAATACTTTCATGGTAACTGCCTGATGAGCTGCTTTCGCTGGTTCCCAGACTTCATGAATTTAAGCGTTCAACTAGGCTGGCATCTCGCTCTCACCCTTTCACTGTCAAAACTGTTAGAAAGCCTGGTCTACCCAACTAATTTATTGGAGAGAAGGGGAAGTATGGTAAATTATAACCATTTTTATATAAACAGGACAATGCTTATGATGTCTGCTTATTGGCTTAGCAAATGAAAAATCCGAGGTATTCCTTTTTTGATGAAGGCTTACTGATGGCTGATGAGGACAATACCATATAAGCAAAGTCATGCTTCAGTGGATGATATTGAAAGTTAGAAATGTAAAATAAAGAAGAAATGCTATTAAAACTTGAGTCTTACAGATCTTATTATCATAAACATTAGTTCTATAGTTCTTTTTTTTTTTTTTTTTCAAAATATAAGAAATAAAAGAGGTGGATAGCAGGGGTGATTATGATCCAATTTTCTTGTTTGTTGTCCACAGGTGAAGGTCTCTTTTAACAAATATCCTCAGGCTTACAACCATATCATGTTGAAATATTGGTTCCCATATGATCACCAAATTTAAGCAACTGGTCAGTACTTAGATGAGTGACTGCTTGGGAATACCAGCTGCTGTAAGCTTGGATGTTTGGGTGATGTAATGGGCTTACAGACATATGTTGAAACCCCTGTTTCTCGTATGATTACCAAAGTTAAGCAATGTTGATCCTTGTTAGTACCTAGATGGGTGACTGCTTGAGAATATCAGGTGCTGTAAGCTTGGATGTGCATGTGGTATAATGGATAATGGCTCAGAATTGTTAATTGGAGAGCCGAGTTCTAATTCCACTTTGTTTTGTTATATTCACAACTTGAGTAGCTCTTGGGTCTTGTATTAAGTGAATATTTAGTGAATATAATATATATATATATATATATATATATATATATATATGTATGTATGTATGTATATATATATATATATATGTGTATGTATATATATATATATATATATATATATATATATATATATATATATATATATATATATATATATATATATATATATATATATATATATATATATATATATATATATATATATATATATATATATATATATATATATATATATATATATATATATATATATATATATATATATATATATATATATATATATATATATGTATGTATGTATGTGTGTATGTATGTATATATATATATTTAAACACACACAAATTTACCTGACATCATTAGGAACATACTAGTAGAAAACACAAATATATTAACTGCATCCATCTGCAAAAAAGGCTAAAAATAATGGAAGCTTTAATAATAAAAAAGAAAAAGCCAACTCTTAAAAATATTAACTACGAACAAAGCCACAATGTGCTAACCGTATTCGGAAATTAAAAACATCCCTACAACACACTAATACATACACAGAACGCACACACTCAATTAAACTGAAAAATTGAATCATCCGAAAGCACTCGGAAATATAAAACATTTGGACAGTTCTTACACACCCTTTGTCCAGAAAAGAAAGCTCTTGTCTGAACACAAGAAAAATTAATAAAAAACTTAACCATAGTACCTTGTCTGTCGTTTTTAAATAAACATGCATATATATATATATATATATATATATATATATATATATATATATATATATATACATACATACATATATATATATAAATACGCTCTAGCTCTGAAATTGAGCACTTTATCACATAAATATTGCACACCTTAAAACTATATTTTTCATATATATATATATATATATATATATATATATATATATATATATATATATATATATATATATATATATATATATATGTGTGTGTGTATATTAGAGTGTGGATGCACAGTGAAGTAGTGGATAGTGGCGCAGATTGAGGAATCAGGGAGCTGAGTTGAATTCCAGTCAAATCCATTACATTCACTTCCGTGTTAATAACCTTGGGAAAGGTATTAATCCTCTTCTTCTCCCTCCAGCTATGGGTAAATAGCAGCACAGACTGGGTTCTATAGCCTTGGATGGCAACTGGTCTAGAAGGATATCTCTGAATTCAATACCTGGGTTGTTTGGGGACCTTGTGGCATGTAGTGCATCTGGTTTCTGTATTCAGCCCTTTGAAAAGTATGGTTGGTTCTGCACAAAGCCTCCATCACTATAATCAAATCATATGTGCTGGTGTCTGGCTGTCAGTTCCTAGGAGCTGAGCTGCTTGACCCTCATACATCAAATATGTCAGGAGAGTTCACCATATTAGAATGTGCAGCTTATATTATATCATAAAGAAATAGTTTATACAAAGAATTAATTAGCAATGTCAATGAGATTAATGGTGAAATCACTTTACTAACAAGACTTAATGAGACATTAACTTTCTATCAATCCCTTGAATAATATGATTTGCTGAGTTGCTGTCAGATGAAATTGATGAGCCAAGTATTTTCAACAATTTGAAATTGTCATCTTCAGGGCACAATTTTTCCATTTACAGGAAAAACACCAAGATAAATTATGCCACCCCTAGAATTACCATGGTTGAACTTGACAGAAGAGTGAAAAAAAAAAAAAAAATGAAAAAGATCTCTTAGAGTTACTGAAAAGAGAATTGAATCAATTATCAAACTTATGCTTTGAGAAACTTTTGCAATGAGTGCCAAAAATTTGTGCTGCAGTAATCAAGGCTAAAGTAGGATATTTGGACAAGAGCAAAATTTAATCATAAAATGCTTTTTTTGTCATAATAAAATTTCTAATAAAAAATGTTTCACTTTTTTTAACCATGTATAATAATTTTCTCTTTTTTAAAGTACAAAACAAATACTTTTGGGGTTAATTTAAAAAATTACTAGGGGTGGCCTCAAACATTTGAACTGTAGTGTATATATATTATTATGTAAGTAAACCTAAAGAGCCAGAGAAATATATTTTCTGTTCTTATAGCACCTCTTTAGCCAGTTTACTCTGACGATTCATGTAGGTGAAACCTAGGTAGGTTTTGTCTGGCTCTTTAGGTTTACCCAGTTTGCTCTACTTAGCGTATTGAGCACTTTGGTTAGTTATTTTTTACCTTACTCGTGTCAGAGGTTTTTTTCTTTGGACTCTGAACTTAGATTTTAGACGATTATTTCCGCCGGAAGTACATGTTCTTAGTTCTTTCTTTTTTTTACCCTTTTTTTACCCTTGGGTATTGGTTTGTTCATTTACAAGCTAAAACACCTAAGGTTTTGCCGGACAAGTATAGCTGCTTATATTTATAAGATTATTAGTATTATATTATTATGTATGAAAAAAAGATGTCAGTAAACTGATCCGAGGAGGATGTGGGTTTTTTACTGATTGATTCGTTTTTTATGGCTTATCAACCCTTTGCAGGCTATTTAAAGCCATAAAATATATTTTAGACTGTCAGAATTTTTTTTGAGATAATAATGGTTTAGTGATACAAGTCTTGACAATTAACCCATAACTGAGATGAGAAGATAGGGATTAATACCTTTCCCATAGGTATTTATGCGTAAGTGAATATAACAAACCTTACTGGAATTGGAAAGTTTCAAATAATATTAGCTCAAGCCCTAGGGGAGCATCCCCCAGGCAGTACCTCTTTGGGCGAAGGCTGGGTTTATTTAATTGCCTGGCATCTGAAGCATCCCCAAAAAGGGAAGTGCTGACGTTGTGTCTCATTTGGTTGCGAAGCTGATCAATAGCCCTGGTATTCCCAAGTGGTCACCCATCTAGGTACTGACCAAGCTCTATGTTGCTTAACTTCAGTGATCGTACTGGAACCAGTGTTTCAACATGATGTGGCCATAAGCTGGAGGATATGGGGCCAGGTGTCTTAGGCAGAAGACTGATATTCACTAAAAGGTTTATCTTTAAAAAATAGACTCAGGGCTATTGCAGTTAGATGCTGGTCTCGTTTTTTAGTTTTTACTACAACCATAATACATGCCAATTTGGTCATCTCGACGTGGTGTAATGGTTAGCATGTTTGTCTTGTTAGAACAATTATGACTGAGTAATGAGTTCAATCTTCACAGGGTGCCCCATCCTTTTGGCCTTGTGCCACATCTAAGCCATGTTTAGAAAATAATGCGCACCTTGATGTGGTATAATGGTTATCACGCTTGTCTTGCAAGAATAATTACGACTGAGTAGTGAGTTCGATCCTCACTAGGTGCACCATGCATTCGGCCTTGTGCCACATCTAAACCATGTTTAGAAAGAAAATCATGGGTACCTCGACATGGTGTAAAAATAAAAATGAATGGTTTTAGCAAGTTTGTCTTGCTAGAACAATTACGAATGAGTAGTGAGTTCCATCCTAACTGGGTACCCCATACTTTCGGCTTTGTGCTACGGTACGCTTAGAAAAATCACCATACACGCTGATTGGGTTTTTTAAGTAGTTAAAGAATATTTTTTTTTTTTTTTACCCATCGGAAAACTATTTCAAAACAAGGGATTCTTTAACTTAAAAATAAAATTTGTTCGTGCAAAAATTTGCAATTATTTTAATGAGACTGTACATTCGTTTTTTTTTTTAATAAAATATCCGTTACAAAGAAACTTAACGTATCGCGAACACCGTAGAAAATATAAAATAACATTTTAACCACCTTTTAGTTGAAACGTTCTTTTCGAGAAAAGGGTAACCGAAAAAGCGCGCAGTGCGCCAAAAATACAAGCGAAATGGCGAAAGAAAGGAAGACTTGAAAAAGTTTTTAAAAACCGGCTCATTTTATAGTTTGAAAATATTTAGTTTTTTATGTTTTACCTTATTCACTTTATTGATTAAGTAACTATTTAGAGATGAATTTATTTCCAATTATTAAAATTTAAACAGATGATTGTTTCAAATTTACAAATAATTCAAGGTTCATTTAAAAAATAGGACATTTTTAAAAAATTTAATTTATATTGGATAATTCGAGAAGCAAATGATTTTATTATTTTTTTTTATAAGTGTAAAAAACTTTTTTAACTAGATATGACCCCGGACTGTCTATAAAAATTGTAGGGTAACTAAATAAATTATTAATTTTACACTTTTTCTGTTAAACTAAACAGCAAAAATGACAGCTATATACGTACTACTATTATTCTCATGACTGTAGTGTACAGTGTAAATAATATAGATAAAATCTAGCAATAACATCTATGTAAGTTATTTTTTAAGAAACAACTCAAGGTGAAGAGATTAAATTAGGACATAAGTCAATTTTACCTTCGTTTATTAAAAATCTCTGAAAAGAATTTTAGCGTTGTTGACTGGAGATTCATATTTTTTAAATTAATTTTTCGACCAATCAAATGTAATTAATTTTTTTTTAAAAATTTAAAAATTAAATTTAAAATAGATAAGCTAAAAAAATTAAGAATTGTACAGAATTATTTATTTGTTAATGTTTTCTAATAGCATAGCTTATATTTGAATTCAATCTCTTGACTTTTTTAAAAATACAACCGCCAAATTCTTATTCATTTTTTACCGGTTAGTGCATGTAAATAAAAAGTATAGAAAATGAATATGATTTTATTAATTTAAATAGTGGCATACATCATGCCTTTTTGTGTGCCTTTAAATTTTCATTTAGATTTTTAAAGAGTTTAAATAATATTTTATTTCAAATTCTCTTGTTTTGAAAAAAAAAAAAAAAACAATTTCACATTATACTTTTTTATTTTTGTGAATTAAATTTTAGGCTTTTTTGTATACACTATTTTTTTGACTAAAATTTAAAAATTTAATATTTTTTAAAAAGAAAACTCCACTTTCCTTTCATTAAATCACTAGTGTAAAACAAAATGTCACCACAGGCATTAAAATTTGACATTAAATTTCTCTTTTCTTTCCTATCATCACTTGATTGAACTACTTTTCATTTTTAAAATGTTAAACACTAAAAACGGTAAGACATTAACGTCTCCTCCCAAATCAGATTTATTTATTAGAATAATTAGACATAAAAGAAACCAGTATCCGTATCATTTTTAATTGAAATTGCTGATTAGTAGAAATTTAAATTTGAAAGTTATATTGTAACATTAATTTAAAACAGTTTTACTTTTAATTAATTATTATAATTAATACATACAATAATTGTTTTGTCATTTAAGTATAATTTAATTGTTTAGAAATAATTTAACAAATTATTCAGTTATAATGACTTCCATATACAAACAAGTCTGTGGACACTAGACAATGAAGTTTGTTAAGAAGTCTCTTTCTTTCAGTTATTATTTTAAACATTTTTAAAACAAGATAAAAGTAAATTTCTTGTTGATTATTTTGCAAGATTTCACATGGGAGAAAGTATACTTTATTGAAATAAAAATATTATTTTCATTAAGTGTTTTTTTTCTCTAGATTGTAAAACCTACCGGCATATTTAATTAATTTATTTTTAATTAACCGTCTCAAGTTTTTTAAATTTATCTCAAAACTTTTTACCGCATTTTCAAGCTTAGAAAGAGTAATATATATATATATATATATATATATATAGTTTTTTATGCGGTTTTTGTGTTTAACAGAACAAAGAGTCAAGTAAGAGTAAGACTATCAATATAAATTCAGAATCATACATCATTATGATCACCACCTTACCATAAAACCCACTGTAGACAAACAGGAAATTAACTATTCATTTTTTAAATTAATTTTTCGTAATTGATTTCTTTCATATTACCACTTGAAACTTATTTATTCATCTACTTATTTAACTACGAGATTTTTTTTATGTAAAGTATTTTCTGCCATGTGAGACAGAAAATAAAAACTTCTTTTTCTAAAAATAGTAGTAACTAACGTCTCAATGACTTTCGATATTAATTATATTTTTACTGCAACACATTTTAAATCGTAACAAGATTCCTTATATTATTGAATGCAAATAGTTAAGAATTGTCAATTGATATAATTTGGTTAAGTAAATAAACACAAAGAGAGTAATCGGGAGGGAAGAGAAACAGTAACGTGTGTATTGCATGGTGTCGGTTTAGCTAGCACGTTGCCATAAAGGAAGGCTCCCTTGTACAACAAGCCAGACAAACCGTAACAAATGAATATTATTACGGCAGTCTACTTTTTTCTATGGATGCGCAAAGCGATCACATTTAGAAAACTTTTTTTTTCCATATTTTTGTTTGTTTGATTTTATAATTACGATAGAATTAATTATTAAATCGATCCAGTCTGTAAATCAAAGACATGGTTATCTGTGTAAAAAAAATGGTTTAATTAATAACTTCTTTCACAGACACAATCACGCACAAAAAGCGATAAGTCGGTCTCTGGCCTTTTGCCTTGGAGATATTTTTAAAACTCGGTTTATTCGACGTTAGAAAGAAGAAAAAAAAAACAATAATCGAAATATGTCGAAAAAGCAAGTCACCATATTAAAAAAAAGAAAAAAAAGAGTTTCATTAAACAAAAACTATATATTATCATTCTTAACAGCATACCCGTCAAAAATGATGAGATTATTTACATATGATAAATCATACAAATATATTTTTTAGTATGAATATTTATTACCAGGAGTGATGATGATGATGATGATGATAAACAAAATACATATGTTGAATGAAATTTCTTTTTCTTGCAATATTTTACAACTCTTTAGATTTTATTTTATTTTTTTTTAATAATTTTAAGAATGAAAACTGAGAGATCAGCAATAGCAGTGATATTACCAGCAGCAATTGCCTACCTAGAGTGCACACACAAGCACAATAGAGCCCATTTTGTGTCTGAGTGTTTGCAGTATGGACTATGACTACTAATAAAATAATAGTAATAATAAAGAGTCTATTCAACTAGTATGTTGTGATAAAAAGCAACCATAATAAAATGGAAAATTAATAATTAAAAATAGTAATTATGAAGAGTATATTGAGCCAGTGCTGGGATAAAAAAGCAATAATAATAAGATTGAATAAAATTAATAATAAAATAATAGTAATAATGAAGAGTGTATAGAGCCAGAGAATTGAGATAAAAAACAACAATAATAAGATGGAATAAAAATAGTAATAAAATAATAGTAACAAAGGAAGAGTGTATAGAGCCAGAGTGTTGGGATAAAAGTAACAAATAATAAGATGGAATCAAACTAGTAATAAAATAGTAGTAATAATGAAGAGCGTATTGGGCCAGAGTGTTTGGAAAAAAAGTAATGAGATAAAATAATAGTAAGAATGAAGTGTATTTTTTTTAATCAATTGACCCCAAACAAGGTGATAATGCCACTAAGATTCAAGGGGCTACTGGGAGTGAAAGAGAATGAAAAAGATTTTAGAAGGAACAGGAAGCCCAATCCTAAACAGGAAACAAAGGATAAACCACTACTCCTGTTCAAAAGGTTGGGGAGGAGTGTGAACTGGATGATAAGTGAACATATCTACTCTCATTGAGGAAAGAAAAATAAATAAACAGTAAATAAAATTTCAGAGTTTAAGTGGAGACAATAGGAATATAGAGTTAAAATAGACTTTAGAAGAAACTGCAAACCCAATCCTAAACAGGAAATAAGGATAAAACACTAATCCTGTTCAAAAGACCGAGGGGGGGGAGTGTGAACCGGATGATAGACGAACCAATCTACTCCTGTTGACCAAGTCTGATGTGATAAAAAGCAGAAAAAATAAGGTGGAATAAGTTAAAATAATAACAGTCATAATGGTATTGATGCAGATCATTATAGCATCTGTGGTAATGCAGGTTCTAATAATAGTAATGGTAATGTTAATATTAGCCATTTCCCTATAAGGAAACATCTGGCATCCATTGACCAAGCAGTCAGTACTGC